ATTTCATACTCACATAAAATGTGGTGTTATTCTTGTGATGTCATATTGGTCTTGTGTGAAAGTGTTGTGAAACGGGAATTTGTATTCTGCTGTTTTTATATGATTGCGACAGGGTGGGGGACGCGGTAAATCTGGGAAAATTTCTTTTATCATAGGCGGTTTTATTTAACTCATAGGAAGTCGAGAATAGGGATTTTCTGGATTGGATTCAGCAATCAATATTGGAAAGGAAGTTAATTATTAAGGACGATAAACGAAAGGAAGGGAAAAATAAAATTAAGGCCCTAAAGAGGATCTCAATAAAGATCGAAACGTTGGCACGATAAAGAAAATGTTTTTCTGAAACATACGTCACAAAAGACCGCATCTCACGATCTGCGAATGATAATCAAATTAAGTCCATTACAGTTCGTGGTCCGATTGACCAATTAACTTTTTTCAATTAATTAATATCTATGAAAGGTATTGGTTCAGATAGAAAAGTCAATGTCACAAGAAGAATTCGAACCCACGATCTCTAACTGAACTTGAAAAATGGCAAATAGGAGGGAAAATTCGAGAGGTGAGGTTGAAATGGGAAGTTAGTGCCCGAGCGGATCGAAGTAACAATAGCTCAAGTGGTAGAGCAGAGGTGTATTTAGCCGAAGGTCGTGTGTTCGAATCCCGCTCGTCACACTGACTTTTTTATCTCAACCAATACCTTTCATAAATATTAATCAATTGAATAAAATTAAGGTTTAATAGAATTATTTACTTTATGATGTTGGCGTAGCTAGGGCTGAGTTTGAATGTATCTGTTGTGTAATTAATTCTGAGTGCGTCTCTGTTAATGTCATTTCTAGAAAGTTGCGTTTGCATTTGTTTTTTCCATGTTTAAAATTTAAATTTTGTCGAAATCAAAGTTGTGATGTTTTTCAAAGTGGTTGTGGCCAGTGCTGTGGGATTGTTTTTTTGCTGTTTTTCAGTCATAAACGAGTTGTTTTTTCCGTTTTTCTACATATTGCGATTTAATTCCAATTTATGTAACTGTACAATTCATACAATTAATTTTCTACATTACATCGGATTTGTAGGCAGTTGGTATTGGGTCTTTGACATAGTAAAAAAGTGTGTGTACTGTTTTATGGTTTTTAAAAGCTATTTTATTGTGTTTTGAGAAGAGAATGTTATTTAATTTGTGTGACAATGTGTGGTGAATGTAATGGACATGCATATTGTTTGTCCTAGTATCACTGCGTAGATGATGTGTTGTGTACTGTGGAGGATGTTGTTTAGTGTAATGCGGGGTAGAATTGTTTATGATTCTGTTGATTATGTTTTTAGGGTAGTTATTGTTATGTAAAATTTGTTTGTATGTCTGGATATTTTAACAAACTCACACACAAACGTCATAACATCTCCCAATAATTTTATATATACACGCACGTGTATACTCACGATAATAATACATTTAAACCTATTATTTTTTTTTGTGTGTGTAAAAACTGTTTGTAAACAGAACTAATAATTTTGCGTTTGAATAAATGCAAATTCGACGATTTACGACGCAAATCAGTGTTTTTATCTTACTAGACTATTTTTTTGTTGCAAAAATTCAGCTATGTGCGCATTGATGTTTCCATTCCCACGTGTTGTTTTGTTGATTATCAAAGAATCAGAATCATTGATACGTATTAAATTTTTTACCAGTAAATATTGTTTTTTATAATTCTCTAATTTCGTGGTCCGCTTGACCAATTTTTTTTTTATAATCCTTAGATCGAAATGAATAATTTTGTTAGTCGAGTTAATTGACGTATCAATAGAGAGAAGTTTAAAAATGTAAGTTTCCTATAAAACAAACTTTAAATAATAACAAAAGTGAACTTTTTAACAAAATAACAGTTCTTAGAATTGTTGTGTAGTAACAATCGACAATAACGTTTTTGAAATTGGATTGAAAATAATTCTGTTGGAATTGATCTATAAAATTCAAAAAATTACCATTATTCTAGAATTAGAATTAAATTAATAAATCCATTTGTTGAGAGTGAGATTTTATCGATCGTTTTAAATCAATGGATTCAGTATTTTTAGTATCCTAGGTAAACAGACATTTTGGAAATCCGGATATCAACCGTTTTCTTCACTAGCCCACATACATTAATATAAAATTATTTTTATATATTTATCTTTTTTTTTGGATTTGCTGTGTAAAAAATACGCCAAGTAAGTTGACATCTTTTTGAACAAAGTACTTATCCATTTATCTGATCACAGACAAAATCTATATGAAGTAAATTGAAACAAATTATTTGTGCATTTTTAAGGATAATCCATTTATTGGATTCGACGTGAAAAAAAAATCAAATAAACTGATATTGTGAAATCTTCCAAATTTCAATTTCTTCTAATAAATCAATAAAATCCTGCAACAATTAATCTACAATTTTGTTGCATATTTATCATTTTTTAAATTGAGCAGTAACACGTGCACAAATTAATTTGTCATGTTTTCGAAAATAATAAATTGCACTTTAAAAAGAAATATATATATGTATATATGTATGTATGTATGTATGAAATAAATTAAAAGTTTTCCGATTGTGGAAATTTTTATTAAACAAATTTATGTCACAAACCTATGGTAGTTAAAACACTGTATTAATCTATTGATTTGAATCTATCAATAAAATCTCCAATAGAGCAATCTCACATCATAGAACAGTCATCAAACAATGATTGATTCATTTGTTAAAAGTAAATTATACAATAAGTTGTGAAACAACCGACATCCAGAAGTTGGGATCCTTGAAAAACATTTCTTCCATATATCCATTTCATAGAAATGCGTTGTGAAACAACCGATATCCAGAAGTTGGGATCCTTGAAAACAATTTCTTCCATATATCCATTTCGTAGAAATGAGTTGTGAATCAACCGATATCCAGAAGTTGGGATCCTTGAAAAACATTTCTTCCATATATCTATTTCATAGAAATGCGTTGTGAAACAACCGATATCCAGAAGTTGGGATCCTTGAAAACTATTTCTTCCATATATCCATTTCGTAGAAATGAGTTGTGAAACAACCGATATTCAGAAGTTGGGATCCTTGAAAAATATTTCTTCCATATATCCATTTCATAGAAATGCGTTGTGAAACAACCGATATCCAGAAGTTGGGATCCTTGAAAACTATTTCTTCCATATATCCATTTCATAGAAATGCGTTGTGAAACAACCGATATCCAGAAGTTGGGATCCTTGAAAAACATTTCTTCCATATATCCATTTCATAGAAATGCGATGTGAAACAACCCAATCCAGCATGTTGGGATCCTTGAAAAACATTTATTTTTCCCATATGTCCATTTCTTAAAAATAAAACAACATATTCATGAATTGGTGTCATTTCAAACATAGTGATCATCTATTTCTCGTAATAGGAAAAAAAGCAGCATGTAGTTTCACATTTAAGCTGCTTAGCAAAACAAAAATCTCTAAGCTGATTATATAATAATAAAAAAATAATTAAAAGTGACAATAAAAGTGTTCCGTTAATGCTCTATGTTTACATCACAATAGAATGTTAAAATAATTATATTAATAGCTATATAATATATTAATTAACCCGTGTATATCAATTACAAAAAAGTTTCATAATCAAAATGTTGTTTTTGTTTTAATTTTTAAACTGGCTTTATGAAAATTTCGTATTTAAACGTACCTAATATCAATGAAAAACAATTTGTAAACGAGCATTTCATTTTAAAAAAATTATACGCAAATAATGGATAAAGAAGCTTTATATCACGGGGGGGAGAGCAAATTACGATTGATGACTTTACTGATTAACAAGATACTGCGATGACATAATATCAGATCAATGATGTTCTTTCTCTGGATTTACGTCAATCCGAACAGTCATTACCTAAATTTCTAAGAAGCCAAATGAATTGGCCTTTGAATGTTAAAATTGTCCGACAATTGATGTACAGTCAATAATTGTAAAATTGAACGAAATGAATGTCTGTTTGTGACTGAGTATAGCATATATCTCATTCTCTCTAATGTTTGAATAAAGTTCTCTTCTGTAATGAAACCTGTTACGGCCGAACTAGACGAACAAGATATGTGAAGCTTTTACACTTTTATTTGAACAAGGGACATACCACATTAACTGAAGTGCAAAGTTCTGAAAGATGCGATTTAACTTTAACGATGGTGTAGCTTGAACAACATTACAAATAACACTGACAGGAACGTACAAATAACACGGACCGACAATAAACTTTTATAGGGCGAGCACATGCATTCATTAAATCTATTTCCGTTTCCACATTGATTAAGAAATTAATTATTAGCAAAATGCATCGGTATACATAAGCATCTTTCTCTCCCTCCCTCCATGTCACACTCTCTCTTTCTCACTCTCTCTCTTCCCCTCTCTCCCTNTCTCTCTCTCGCGCGCTCACTCTCTTTTATTTCTACTCACTCGCGCTCTCTCTTTTTTTGCTTTATCGCTCTCTCACTCTGTTAGTCTACACGCTCAAGCTCTCTCTCTCTCTCTCTCTCTCTCTCTCTCTCTCTCTCTCTCTCTCTCTCTCTCTCTCTTTCTCTCTTTCCACCTCTCCTCCTCTCTCCACTCCTCTCTTCCTCAATTACTCAATTTTTCTATCTCTCTTTTCTCCTTTCTTTAGCGTTATCTTTGACCATTTCTCTCTCTCCTCTGCCTATCCCTTTTCTCTAACTTCTGTCTCTGCCTCTCTCCCTCCCTCCCTCCCCCCTCGATCTCTCACTCTCTCTCTCTCTCTCTCACTCTCTCTCTCCATTCTCAATCTTCTCTCTCTCGCTCTTTTATTATTTGTACTCTCTCTCACTCTTTCTTCTTTCATTTTCACATTTTCATTTTGAACATTGCTTTAATTTTAGAAAGGAGAAGGTCGAAGATTGTTATTTTCACCATTTTTCTGTTCAATCACTTTTTAGATATTAAAATATTCTCTTTTGTTTTTCAGTTTCAGAAAAAGAAACGAGTCGTCGGTCGAGTGCAGTGCAGGAACATAAAGCACGAGTGTCCGCAGCTGAGCTGCGACGAGCCGGTCATGATGCCCGGGAAGTGCTGCAAAGTCTGCCCGTCGGACGTCCAGAGTAAGCAAATTCGAATTTTATATCGTTTCTGGGGGGGGAGGTTCTTCGGCCCTCGGCGTGGAATGGAGAAAAAAAATAATAAAAACCCACCGATTCTGAGAAACTGGGTCGTGGGTGGAGTCCGCGAGAGTTATCGCTCTTCAAGTGGCTTATTTCTGCCCGCTGAAAAAAAAAAGTAGCTGCAGTTCATAAATTTCCATTTGCTCGGATATAGAACAGCGTTTCAGATAAAATAGACTCGCCGTTCTAATTTCGTCCCGCAGAATTTAGTGTACCCATTTTAGCAATTTTTGTTCCAGCCGGCTTGCCGTAATCGACGAAAATATTGCGCAAATATTATCAATCTAAACGCGCGCATCGCCAGGGCAAAACGGGTGCATATTTTATTTATATCGGTTTGCTCTTGAATGAGTGTCAGTTCGTTGCTAGTCAGTACCGCTTTATATATAGGATCATGATCAAATTGACAGCAGACGTCATGATTTTTGACGAGCTCTATAACAATCATTATTTTGTAATAGCCTGTCCAGATCGTCTCTCAGGAGCAAAACCCTATTTTTGACCCTCTAAGGTCTATTTACACCTTATTGACGCAATGTTCCCTTTTTAGATAGAACAATTGGGCAAGTTTTTGCCCCTTCCTGTCGAAATCATTAAAAGCTTATGAAGATCTTTTCTGCCCTTGCCATTCATTATCCACATACAAAAGGATGAAACTTACAATAAAATTGAAACAAAGTATAATAATCTAGATAGGCTATGTTCATACTGTGATACCCATGAGAAATTACATGTCAATTAGTAATGACAAGTAGATTCTTTAATGGCCAGTTATTTAGTTTGCCCATCATATAGATGAAATAGCGAATAGTTTCAGCTGTCACTTGGAAACCGTGATTTTTCGATCTCATTATCGTTACATCATCAGCAGGATGGATTAACAAAAAAACAAGATATCATCAAAACTGTTTTTAAAAAAATCAACATTCACTTTTCAATTATTAAGAAACCATTTAGGTACCGTGATTTTTTGTTCTCTTCATCGTTACATCATTAGCAGGATGGATTAACATAAAAAAAGTAAACTACGAACTGGTTTTAAAAAAATTAAAGAACTCTCTTCAGCCTCTCAGTAGTCAGTTTTTTAGTCTGCCCATCAGATAGACGAAAATAGCAAAGAGTCTCAGCTTCACTTGGAGTCATAGAAAAAATTAATTTGTCGGCATGGGTGTCTTTAAACTGTGATTTTTTGTTCTCATCATCGTTACATCATCTGCAGGATGGATTGACAAAAAAACAAGATATCATCAAAACTGTTTTTACAAAAATCAACATTCACTTTTCAATTATTAGGAAACCATTTAGGTAAAACTACTATTTCTCATCGTCGTTTATCCGAGTATTTTTATTAGATCAGTAGGAACAAGTTGCTTCTCCAGTAGACATTTTGTGAGTTTGCCCTTCATATACATATGCCAACATGGGTGTCATTAAACCGTGATTTTTTGTTCTTAAAGTTATCTATGGATTGATTAAAAAAATTAACTAACTCTTTTTAATCTCTCGATAGCCAGTTTTTTAGTTTGCCCATCAGTTAAATGAATATAGCAAAGTTTCAGCAGGCATCCGGAATTTTAAAAACAAGTAATTTGTCTGCATCGGTGTCTTTAAACCGTGATTTTTTGTTCTCTTCATCGTAACATCATCAGCAGAATGGATTAACAGAAAAAGTTATCTACGAATTTATTTAAAAAAATTAATTAGTTCTCTTTAGCCTCTCAGTAGCCAGTGATTTCTCATCATCGTTACATCATCAACTTTCTTTATTTTTCAATAGTTTTAGTAAACGAATTAGGTAAAACTGCTATTTCACATCCACATATTTTACATAGAGATAAGAAACAGACTTAAAAGAATAAGGAGCTACTGCAATACGCTTACACGAATAACAGTGCTAATTAGAAAAAAGAGGGGAGAGAGAGAGAGTGAGAGAGAGAGAGAGTGAGAGAGAGAGAGTGAGAGAGAGTGGAGGTAGAAAGAGGAAGAGAGAGATATAAAATACTTTAAAGGTAAAAAATAGGATTTTACGAAGTCAGTATAACACAAACATTAATGTTGACCAATACGTAAAACAGAAAAAAATTGGTCCTCCGGGCCGGATCATTTTTTCAATTCACTACAGGTAACATATCATTTCTAATAAGATTATACATTATACAGTGTAGGAAGTGTGAGTGGGTGAGAAAAAGAGAAAGAGAGAGACAGAGAGAGTGACTGAGAGAGTGGCTAGAAAAATAAAAGTAGCATTTGTAGAAAGGTTGGGCACTGGAAGAGAAAGAAAAATAAATTCGCGAACGAAGAAAATAGAAGAATAAAACAACTGATTTTTATCATTTACGTAAAATGATGATCCAGACAAGTTTTAAGATGAAAATAATACCACTAATTGAAGTCGGATAGGAAAGACACTACAAAGACAGCAATATAAATATATATATATTTGTAGTTCAATTATACAAAAAAGAGTAATCTAAAATAGAAACGAGAAAAAGAAATACAAAAAATTATATCATAATAGTGTGTATAATATTATACGGAGATCGGGAAATGCGGTCTGGTGTGACATACGTTTTAGAAAAGCATTTTCTTTATCTTGCCAACGTTTCGATCTTTATTGAGATCATCTTCAGGGCCTGGGATTTATGAACATTGTTTAAATTTTACAAATACATGTAGGATGTGAAAAAAATGAGTTTATAGAATGATCGAAAATTTTATATAAAAAAATGAATTTCTACAATGCTAGAAAATTTTAGATTAAAAAAATTAATTTATTTAATGATAGAAAATTTTAGATTTTAAAAAAGGATGAATTTATACAATACTAGAAAATTTTAGATAAAAAAATGAATTTATATAATGATAGAAAATTTTAGATTTAAAGCGTGTATATTGTTTCGATATATGAAGTTTTTCATAAAAGGAAAAACTTACTTCCGAAAGCATATTGTATTAATAATATCTTATCTAAATATTGTCTGAATTATTATACCAAAATATAAACGGTTTCTTTATCAGCTTTACATGGTTTACCTTTATATTTTTAATTTTCAAGCAAGTTTTCTGAAAGTGTCATTTGAACCGACCAGTAGGAGATATTTAAGATCAGGAATGACGAGCAGATTTCTCGGTAGTCAGTTTTTAAATTTGCCCAACCCCTAGATGTCTATAAAACAGGATGCAGCTGTCCTGTTAAAAATGCAATTAATTAACACAGCTTGGGCATTCGTACAAAATGATTCCGCGCTCGTTCGATCGTCTGCAATCATATCGGAACTGTTAAAACGCAATGGTCCTCATAAACCATATCCTATTAACATTGATATCGTAGTAATGACAGATGCCAACTACAACGCAGACGTTGCGTAATAAAAACTTGGCATCGCGTTTCAAACGGTTTTCGCGAGCTGAAAACCATTCGTCGCATTTTGTTTATTTTCGTTCTCGATTTTATACTTTATTGTAGGTCTGTAACTAGGTGGTTTGTTTTAAATACGACCAGTTCTTAAAGGATGTCGATCCGACTCGGCAAACAGTCCAATTATATGGTAATAGGACGTGATTTTGTTTCGGTTTTGTTTAAATCCGGATGCTGATTTGACTTCTAAATGGGCGCAATGTATTATAGTCTGGGGGTGTGACGAGCGCGAACCTCTTTCTGGACCCCCATTGTCTCCAGATCATCCGAGTCAAACGATCCCGATTTGCATTTTACCGGGCGCCGTCCTTTGTCTTTCATCCGTCCGCGTGTATGTTTGCCCGAAACGTCTTATCTTCGATCGTTATGTTCTTGCCATTCCGAGAAAATGAGACAGGCTTAAGCTGATCGAGGCTAAACGGGTTGTGATTCTAATCTCGCGTGGTTTTTAATCTGACTCGTTTCCAGTGGAAATATCTTGTAAGATATTACAACTCTGAAGAGCCGACGATCACGGTTTCGCTAAACTTTATTGTCAGATGTATTGCAGCGCTTAGCGCACATTTACTGGAAATGGCGATAATTGAATTTGAATTATATACATATTCTCAAATATTAACATACATCATGACTAGAAGACTAGAATATAATATCAAATTGTTGTAGGGTAAATCCAAATTTATTTCCCATGAATATACTTTTCACATTTTCTTAATAATGAATGAATAAACGAATCCATTTTTATTCATAAAATTGCAGCCACATTGTAACAATATGTTCACTAGTTTTCGTGGTCCGCTTGACCAATTATTATCTTTCAATTAGTTAAGGTTTTTATTGAGATAAAAAAGTCAGTGTAACGAGCGGAGTTCGAACCCACGACCTTCGGCTAGATACGCCGCTACTCTACCACTTGAGCTATATTGACTTCGATCCACTCGGACACCAACTTCCCATCTCAACTCAACCTTTCGAATTTTCTCTCCTATTTGCCATTTTTTCATACGAAAGGTTGAGATGAAAAGTTGGTGTTCGAGTGGATCGAAGTCACGATAGCTCAAGTGGTAGAGCAGCGACGTATATAGCCGAAGGTCTTGGGTTCGAATCCCGCTCGAGACACTGACCTTTTTATCTCAACTAAAAACCTTAATTGATTATAACAATAGGATTAATAGTAACTATAACGTGATAGTGGGCACTCTCAACACGACACACAAGGATGGCACAATTACACAGAAGACAAACACTTTGAGCCCTGAAGATGGTCTCAATAAAAGATCGAAACGTTGGCACGATAAAGAAAATGTTTTTCTGAAACCTACATCACTCCCGACCGCATCTCACGATATCTGAATAACTAAGTAACTATAACATTCTGGAGCAAAACTTTCGATATAAACCAATAAGTAGTTTTTATCTAGAAAATAAAAATGTAGGCGAAAATACGCAACAGAAAAACCAATACCAAGAATTATAGGCTAATATGGAGATAACAATAAATGGAAAAAAAATAATTTAATAAATTTATTACTTGGAGATCGTGAGGTGCGGTCTGGTGTGATGTAGGTTTTAGAAAAACATTCTCTTTATCGTGCCAACGTTTCGATCTTTATTGAGATCATCTTCACGACTCAACACGACTTTGTTTGCACTCTCAACACGACACATAAGAATGACACATCTGCACGGAAAACAAACACTTTGAGCTCTGAAGATGATCTCAATAAAGACCGAAACGTTGGCATGATAAAGAAAATGTTTTTCTAAAACCTACGTCATACCAGACAGCACATCACGATCTCCAAATAATCATTAGCTAACGGTCACTAAACACAACACATTTATACATTTAAATAAACAGCATTACGTAAATTAAATAATTAGAGATAGCAAGCAACTAATGTCAGAAACTAACAATATCGACAGATTATTATTATTAGATGCATTGATTAGAATTGAAAGAAGGACTTAGTTCTCAGGTGTTTCGAGTGGGCTGATATTGTACAAGCTTCAACATCAAATTTATATAAAAACTATTGTGAAAAATTTTCAACGTTCTGTTATTACATTTTTAAACATTTTTTAATGTAATTATTCATAGTTTTGATTTTTAACAACGATTCAAGTTGAACCTGATCTTCCTGTTCTGCCTAGTTTCGCTGTTTTTAGTCTTGATAATCATTAAGAAAAATATTATTTTATTCTGTGTAGAGATTAGTGACCGTTAATCGATAGTTATTCAGATATCGTGAGATGCGGTCGGGTGTGATGTAGGTTTCAGAAAAACATTTTCTTTATCGNTCTCTCTCTCTCTCTCTCTCTCTCTGCCTGTCTATCTATCTTTCTATCTATCTGTCTATCTATCTAATCTATTTATCTATTTATCCATCTAACTTTTCTCTGTTCATGTGTGGGGCGTGTGCGTGTGTGTGTGAGGTAAAGAAAGAAAACTTTATCTCCCGGGAACAAATTCCCTTAAGGGAAACAGAGAGTGAACTTAAAATGTTAAATGGCTGGATTAGTAATACAAACGTTTCAAAGTGGATAAAATATTGTTTATCATATTAATAAAAAACGTCCGTTTTATAATGCAACATTCATTCAAGGTTTCACTTCCTCTTGAGTTCATTCTTTTTCCTTTTGGCTCATTTTTTCTTTCTATTCCAGGTTAATCTCTATATTTTCTCTCTCTCTCTCTCTCTCTCTCTCTCTCTCTCTCTCTCTCTCTCTCTCTCCCCCCTCTCTCTCACTTTCTGCCTATGTTGCTCTCTCTGTAATCTTTAACTCATTCTTCATCATTCTTTATCTCTTTAGCTCTCTTTTTCTTTCTATCCCAAGTCAATCTCCACAATTTTTAACGCTCTATTCCTCTCCTTCACACTCTCTCCCTCCCTGTCTTCACTCCTTTTTCTCCGTCCATCTCCTTCTTTTACTGATTACTGATACAAACGTTTCAGGGTGGATAAAATATTGTTTATCATATTAATAAAAAACGTTCGTTTTATAATGCAACATCCTCTTACAGCAAAGTTATATTTACAACAAACTTTTTGCATTTTAGATACTTAACGACTTGCATTAGCCTGCGTTATTTTAAAGGTAAAATGGTTTATTTAAGGATGGTTGTATTTAAAAAAAATGAAAATTTGTTTAGAACGAGCTTTTTCTCTATGAAATAAAATTAATGGAGTATTGGATATCAAATGGCAAAGATCTCTTCCGATTCAACAGGCAAATTTGATCTAAATATTGGCTCTTCATGAGAATACGTTTAATATCAACTAAAAGTAAAAGCAGAGAGTTGCTTTTTTGCCTTGAAAAGATAGTGGAGAAGAACCAGGAAACAATCTATAATTTTTATTATACAGATCTCCAGATGCGGTCTTCGAAGGCGATGAAATGTAATCAAGTTGTTTCAACACGTACGATGGTGTTTAAATTAAGATCGAAAAATGCCAAGAATGTCTGAAAACAATCCTTATTACGATATTTCAACATGAGGATTTTAAAAATGCGCGCATTCGTTCCGTATCTGCTTTGAATTGTGATGGACGTATCCTTGAGCAGTGTTCCAAGTCCTACATTCTTCAAATACTCGTTGAGATTTAAGGATTTTCGTCGATCCCCGACGGTTTTCGACGGTCCTCCGACCCTTAAGAAATCTCTGCGCCCATGGTTCTTCCTTCTGTTTACAAACAGACCGGTCCAGAACCCAATTGAATCTCGGTTGTCCTTCTGTCCGGCTGGGGACGTCGACCCTATGGAGCCGTGGCTGAAAGCCAGCCGGCCGTGTAGCGTGACAGCCGCTGCCCATCCTTTAACCCTCTCCCGGCTGGTGGAGATAAAATGGGATATCCACACGGCCGGAGTTAACCTCGGCTAGACCTGTCATCCCTCGCACACTTCCGCTAAAAACAAAACATACAAAAACCGCAGGGGGCAGTACAAATCAGTATCAGCCAATATCTGTTTGAAAAAAAAATTATGATCATATTTAAAAACAATTAAAATCTCTATTTCAAACGTTAATCCTGATGAACGTACGATAGAATCTTAAGTTAACTTGCTATAATTTCAAAAAATTGAAACACCTATACCAAGAAATTCAAAATTTGTCAAACAAAAAATATATGCCAATATGTAGATTCAATAATTGTACCAGAATAAAAGTTTACCAAACTATTCATCTTGATTTACACTACTGAATGGTTACATTTTTTACCCAAATTTTTCATAAAACAGGCTAAAAATCAATCGGAGGAAGGTCTGAACATGGAAGAGCTTCTATTTTTAGGTCTTGAAGTTTCTGGTCAGTCAACTTTGAAACATGAGGTCAAGCCTTGGAGTAGGACCGTGATTTAGGGAAAACTTGATTTAGTACGGAAAAACCACCCAACTCGCTCAATAATTAGCGGAGGAGACGTACATCGCCTACAAGTCGATAGGTCATATGCCCATCAGCGTGAATCACAAAATATTCACTTTTCCGTACATACAGATCGTTCTATTTTTACATATCAGGCTAGATTAAGATACTTAATCGTCTTGGGATCGTCTAACTCATAATTCACCTTTTTCTCTTCTAGAACCAAAAAAACGATATTTTCGTTTCGCAGTACTTTACCGAAAAAGCCGGAATAATCTCTCTTGGCACGGTTCAGCAACTTGAACAAACGAAATATCTCTGAGGGATACGTATTTCATTCTTTCCGACAACACGGGCTGAAAAGATATAACACGCCCTTAAAATAAAAATGGGATTGTGTATTTTTCAAAAATGTTATTCAACTTGGGGTTAAAAAAACTTATCATCAGTGGTGGTTCTACTCTAACCTGCATACCAATTTTAAAAGTTCAAACAAATTTTTCTAAATGAAAATATAAAAAGACAATTTTTCCTAAAGGAAACTAAACTTTTAAAGAATTTTATTTTGGGGAAATAATAAAAAAACCGTTGTATATGATAACATGAAGACGTAAAAATTACTGGGAGGAGGGAAACATGGGGACACACCTCGGTCTGAAGATCGAGTCTGTCAAACAGTGGTCAAACGGCTACCAAATATAATTATTGGCATCCTTTTTCTGTATCGACCTTTACTAAATCGTAGATGCTGCAATCCCATAACCAAATATGAACATCTCATCCGCCAATAGGCCGAAAAAGATCCTCGACGGATTCTACCACTTGATCCGTCGCTTTCTCATCTCGTCTCTTTAACATTGCAATCGCCGTGATCAAACGGCCCAAACATGGATCCACGTCTACGTTACGCAAGAGGCGCCGAGAGACGAAAAGGTAAACTCTGTCGCTCTCTTTCCCTCGGACAGAAGTAGTGCAAGGGCTATTTCCATGATCGGTCCGGCCACAAACTAAAATAAACAAACCAATTATATGCTAATACAACATCCACGCTCTATTTTCATTCCGATTCCTTTCGGTTCCAGCACGAAGTTTAAAATTCCTTTTCTTTATTATTTCAGATAAGGACATCCCACAAGACGTCGCCCCGGCCCTGCCTCCAGAAGAAGAAGACATGAACTTCAAGTGTAAGTCAACAAAACTTTTTTACTAATGCATTTCCTTTCCACTTTAAACAACCAATAATTATATTTCTACATATCCAATACAAATAAGCATTCTTCTTTAACTTTGTACTGATAGTCTGTATCAATAAGTGTAAGTTACCAACTTCAGACGATTTTAACATATTATACTTAAAAAAAGTTTAAAAGCCACTGATGCTCTAGCTGATATATGCAAAGTAGAGGGTGATGACATGTCAACGGTCCAGAACTGGTTTAAGAATTTCTGATAATTCCTCGAAAGCCAAGTTAGATCAGATTGTACGAAATCTCTTGATGTTTTGTGAACAGCTGATCCCCGAATAAGCCGCGAGGAAACTTGCAGGTGGATTAGAACCGCATTAGATAAATCGGTTGTTACAAGGTATTTAAACGTATCCCAAGAGCTGCAGAAAGGACGTTTTAGTTCTTCTGAAAAAACTGATTGTCCTTTGATAAAATGTGATCAAACGGTTGAAAAAAGTTGTATTTCTACAATGCTACCTAGCAGATTTAAGATTTAACAGCTATTTAATAGTAAAGAAACATTTCTGTATGACAAGTGCGGGGTGATGATCCTATAGTTTAGACGTTTCCGATCATTTTGGTCGTCCTAGTCGTTTTGGTCTCCCAGATGCTTTTTGGCTTCTACCTATCTTCAGCTCTGTTTATATCTGGCAGAAAGACCAAAATAGCAAATACATGCCATACATTTATATAAAAGGAGCAAACTATGGTAAAGGAATTTGTAATTTCTGGTCTAAAGCTCTTCCAGTGTCCCTAAATGTTCATGTATTCAATTTCATTTTTAATTGGTTTTTATTACTTATACTATATTGTCCCAATTTATGGAATGTTCTCATGCAACATAACAAAACCATGCCACATAAGCCAGGGATTTTCCCTCATCCGGAATTAAGAAGCACCGACCTCCTCCTTCAGATTACCGTTTATAATCCGAGGGTTTTTGATGCCACTTTAGACTGATTTTACAAGAATAGAAACAGTTCTTTAAGCATTGAAAAACCAACTGGGCAAATTAAAAGACATTTGTTCTGTCGCGTTAAATCAGACAAACCACAAGGCCCTTGTGGAACGTTTGCCAGTAAGTCCAGCGGCTGAACTTGACCGAAGCCGTGAAGGTGTTCGCGCCCGGAAAGATTGCGTTATCTGAAAAACAGATCACTGTCAACTACAAATAAAACATATTCAAAAAATAGTACGCCATTGCTCGAATAAAAAATGATATTTGGCAAACAATTTGGCAACAACAAGCGTTTCGGTGGCAATTTGAAAATTTGTCAATGCAATTTTCACCGAATGGCTTTCGCTCAATTACAATGGTTCTGCAACGTGTAAATAAATTAATATTAAGTAATTAGTAATTTTAAACACCTCCCTGAAATTTACAATTAATTGTAGGCATTAAAAAATATTATTGTTCAAGATTATTAATGTTTGTAAGATTAATGTCGTCGAACAATACAGTAACTATTACAATATATAATTATTATATTGCTGTAATGATAAAGTCATTTTTGTTAAAAACTTTGTTAAATGGTTTTTAGATAATGGTCAGATTTTTCTTTCACTGATGCAACTATTTTAATTGATAGCAGTCTTTAAAAGACAGAATGGTTTGAACATGTTTATTACAGTTTAAAAAAAATACAATCAAACGATTGTAGTCATCAGATTACACTTTTCTCTTTGATCTGAAGATCAGCTACCTTATCTTTCGAGTGGGATATCCTGGTTTAAATTCGATTTTTAAAAGCGATCGTTTTTAAATATTTATGCAAACAATGTCTTAAAGTTTATTGATCCCAGGCGTGGTGTAGGGTAATCCTTGATTATTCCATTTACGTTTTAGTGGTCAATTGACCAAGTTACTTCTTTGAAAATGGCAAAAAGAGGGAAAAATTCGAACGGTTGTAGGTTGAGATGGAGAGTTGGTGTCCGAGTGGATCGAAGTCACGATAGCTCAAGTGGTAGAGAAGCGGCGTATTTAGCCGAAGGTCGTGGGTTCGAATCCCGCTCATGACACTGAATGTTTTATCTCAACCGAGACTTTATATAAAAAGATTCCTTGATTATGTTAAATATATTCTTAAATGTTTGAAAAGAAGCAATAACAATGTGAAAAACACATATTGCGTATTTGCAGTTCCATGTCGGAGAAAAGAATATACATTTTTTTTAATCCGCAGCTTTGTTTAATTAAAATTAGGGGCTTAATCCTTTCAGCTCCTATCGTTAATGACTGTTATGACTTTTGACAGTCCCAGATCAGCGCCTAGTGGAGAAAAATGAGTAAATATAAACAAATAATGTCCCACTTCGTTGCCTGTATTTTTCCCCTTCAATCACAACGATGATGGGCGACAATACACCATTACATTTCTCGAGACTTCTAAAGGAAAACCAACCATCATTTGTAATAATCATTAGTAAAAGCGCAAACACATTAACAAAAATAACGTCAATTGGGAGTGCATTACGGCGTGTCGGAAGGGATGCAAGGCCGACCTGAATTCTTCAATAGTTCTACGAGCTTCTGTTCATTTGAGCACTCCTGACGTCGCTAGACTTGAAGCAAGAGGTCTAGAGGCCATGCTACACGTACTAGAGAGAATGATGTCCCGTTTCCTACGATACAGTGTAGCATCCTACTCCAGTTTAAAAATTGTGTTATATCGAGAACAGACGAAAGCCAGTGGCTGTAATCAAACCTTCGGGGATCGCTCCAACGTAGAAATCCCTCAATGCGTCACTGCTCCAGTTTTTCATTAGCGGATGATGGTGCTGATGAACGAATCTTAGTATTTGTATCGTTGACCTGCAAACGCTCACTCAATTTTTCCAATTGTTTCGACGACGACACGTTCTAAGCCAGTACAACTTAATTTTATCAACTGTACACAATTTATGTGGACATTGGCTGTAGTCTGTCATATTTGCGTAGTAATTCCCGTAATTTTTGCATTCACCCAAAACCTACTCAAGGACGAAATTATTAGTAATTGTGCAATGTCGCCTACTTACCTGATGTTAACACGGCTGCCAAGCATGTCCTTCTGAATCTACCACCATTACATATCTTTATCCAGGAAGAGGCCAGAGCCATAATTCACACGCTAATGCAGGGACAGGCTCCAATGGCCTAATCACATAACAAGGAGCAACTAAATCTTCGATGGGAGCTTCAGTTAAACAGGACTTTAGCGATGCCTACTGATGCCATGGCCCCTAAATTCAGTTTTGCCAAAAGGTATCTAATCGAAATGCATTGTAGAGCGGTCTGAGAGGAAGGGATCCAAGTTAATGCCGACCATATCTGGTTTACAGATGGCTCCAAAACCGAATATGGGTCAGGAGCTGGCATTTATGGAAATAAACCGAGGATTAGAATTCATATAAGCCTTGGACACTATGCCACAGCCAAACTGAGGCTATTGAACACTGTGCCAAGGAGATAAAAAGGCTGGGGATTGTCAAGTCGATATCTATTGTCGAGCCATCTCCTCGGACAGCCAGGCGGCATTGAAGGCAATTGCCCCAACGGCGGTAAAGTCCAGCGTCGTTTGGGACTGCATTAGAAGAAGATAGACTGCAAAAGCCCTGGCAGACATTGGGAAAATAACAAAATTACCCTTGTCTTGGTGCTAGGGTACACAGGGCAAAGGGTCAACGAAGTGACGAAGGAAAGTTCAAGTGCTAGAATAATAGTTGAGACTGCTAACTGTACACTGCAGACCCCGGAGACAAATGTATAGACTCGGAGTTGCAAAAAAGGTCTGTGTAGATATTGCCGCATACGCTGACCCTTCCTAATCATTGTAGAGGAAAAGGCAGGGCTTGAAGGATACACATGGGAGCCCTTGGAAAAGCTTTGGGATCTGAGAAAAAGCCTCAAGCTTAACAAGGAGCTCTAGATAAAAAAATGGAGATGCACAATAGACCAATACTGGTCACCGTGCACAGGTCGTAAAGAGCTCCTATATAATCTAATCTAATCTACCTGATGTTAAAAGTATGAGCCAGGGTGAAGCCGAAGCAATTTATAGGAGTGTGATCAATGAACATTGGCCAGGATACTGAATAATACTGAACGATTTGCAACGATGTGTCAAAATCTGAAATAGGCGCAGGTTGTGACCTGTTTGACCAACGGCCAACTATGAATGTGTGATTAGACTACCAAAAGAATGTAGCATTTGTGCGGTAGAACTCAATGGCATATCAAGTGCCCTTAGCTACAAAGGCTCTAGTAATGATTTTTTGCGTTATTTATTTACGAGGGTTCGCAACAGCAGAGGTTGAAGCCACCGGACTTGGGAGAACTTACTGACCTTTTAAAAAAAGGAGCCATTGCTGTCCAAACCATTTTGATGGAACGGAACACCACGTCAAGCCCAAAAAGAAACTTAGTATACAGTTTTGGACGCAAAAATCAGTGATATTGAGAATAACTTAGAAACAGGCTAGATTACACTGAAAAACGCACTCGTACGATCACTGTAAAATTAACTAATTGAATACTTATTAACTATTTTGTTATGGTGTTGGGTCTTTGGCATGAAATAACAATTATAATTAAAATTTTGAAATAATGTATTCTATTCATAAATCCTGGTGATTATCAAGGCGCCGAAGTTGGACCACTCCAAACTTAGGATGTAAATTGTTTGTCGCGTAAATGTTTGAACCCTACTTTCACCCTTTCGCATGTTATACTATCTCAATTTGAGCATTTTTAATTTAAATTTGTACAAAATTGTTTCAGATTATGCGAGTTTGATGACAGGCCACGAGACCGCGACCGGCCGCTACTCTTTTCACAAGAAAAGCCTATTTTACTCGTTTTACGCCACTTCACGGCCGCAGGTTATCCAGTTTCTTGACACGAACGGCAACATCCTCGAAGAACAGGTAAGCAACGTAAAAAAATTTGAAGTTTTTAATAATAAGTCTGGTTATTTAAACGTTATAAAGGAACCTTTATTTTGCCATTTTTTTTAACTTTAAGATAACGTGTCGACTTTTATCTTAAGACATAACGTGCGTGATGGCTACCGTTTAAACCGGGAGAAAATAAAACCGTGTTAAAAGGTTTTTGCACTTTTTAAAAACTGAAATTTTATACTTGTAAAGAAAATTTGCTATTTTACAAGGCTTCGTTTTGGCAGCGTTCAAGACAGCGTCAATCACAAAATCAATTTGGTTGTAAAGCAAAACAATCCCATTCAAAAGCCGCCGTCGCAAAAACATTTTAAAAAAAAGAAAACGTCTCCGAGAAAAATTTTCCATCTCCACTCTTGTACATTTCCGATGATTGTGTTTTGTTTAAATTATCTATACGGGTGAAGGTCCTCGAGTAGCCCAGTGTTTTTGTAATTAAAACAAATTGTTATCAGTTTGATTTATACTGAAATGGTGGTTGTAAATCAATTTGGTTTAATTGATCCAGATACTGCCGGAACCGATTCTCCGGCCCGCATTGAGCCCCCGCACCGTTTTTGTTTATTGCCCTGTTTGCTTTGACTGTTTTTAATCGTTTGCTCATCTCTCTTATCGTATGACTTTTGATGATAACGTTCATAATGTGTTGATCCTTATCGTACAATATTTTGACGAAGAGTTAATAAAATAATTCTTATTTTCTGGGAATCTAAATCATTAAAAAATTCCTGTTATTTCTTATATTTTAGTTTTTTGTGTGTGTTTATATGTCAAATGCCAGATAGATGTTGGAAAATCTATTTTTTTATAAATGGTTAGCTCTTTAATCTGATACTACAAAAATCCCAGAAATTCCACTATAAACCAATGTTTGACATAGGAATATAAATATAACTTTTTAAAAGTCTATAAAAATTGTTAACATTTTAATTTTGTTTAGTTATTAAAACCTATTGAAATGAAAGCTTAGTTAAACTATGATTTTCATCACATTAATAATTAATAATGTCATATTACTCTATAAACTGAATGAAGGTCTAATATTTTTTATTTTCAAAATTAATTATTTTATGTTCAAAAATTTAAGTTATTTTGCTCATGCACACAAGAAATATGTGTAAATAAATTTAAGATATATGCTGATATATCTGTAAATGAAAAATGTGTGTGTGTGTGTGTGTGTGTGTGTGTTTGTACATATGGTTTTTGAAAATATAATTTTTTTTAGTTCGAATGTAATCAATAGTGCACAATTTATTTTGTTATATGTGTAATGTGGATTGAAGTCACGATAGCTCAAGTGGTAGAGCAGAGGCATATTTAGCCGAAGGTCATGGGTTCGAATCCCGCTAGACACACGGACTTTTTTTATCTCAACCAATTAAGATTAAAATTAAATTACCAATTAAAAAAGATTCATTCATTGAAAGAGGTTATTTGGTCATTCGGACCTCAAAATCTAATGGATTTAATATATATATAATGTGGAAGTTTATGGGCCAATAAACACCAGAGGTCATCATCGGCCCTCTGCGTGTCTTCTGTGTTGTGTTCTTCTTTTTCTGGTCTTTCATATTTGTTTTAAACTGCATCCGTTTGAATGTCTCGATCTGGTTACTGACCCTCTGTAGAGTAGCTTCTCATTTGTATGTTGTTGTATCTACATCACAGACCAAAACATACAATATATATGTAAGTTACATCTGCAACGGAGTCAAATTTATAACTTGTACATATAAACATAAAAGTCTGGACACATTCACTCCCCCAGAGTACTTGATATTCCTCGGGGCGGGGTTAAATAACCTTATCTTTTCATGCTAATAAATTACATTCGTTCCAAACATAAATATAACACATTCACAACACAAACACTCTATATGTATTTAAAAATCCCTTTAGCCCTGAAGTACTGGTGTTCTGTGCCCACTCCTGTGACCCAAGACTATGCAACAGGTCTGACAATATGCCAAAATATCTATTTGTAATGTAAGTGTATTAAGGTTTATTGTAGTAATAAATATAAGATTTATTCTTGAGGTCTGCAGGATGACTCATCATGATCATTCCTATCATATCCTTCCTGGTTTTTTTCTTTTTCTGTCAGACATTTTTTTGTAAGGTAACTATGATATTGAAGTTATTGACCAGCAGTTTTTGTTTAAATTTAGGATGAATAGGACGCTTTATTCTATATTTAGCCTTCTTTGGGTCTAAGACATAATTTTGATTTATAAATTACAACAGAAAACGAACATTTGTTCAAAGTTATAATTTCAATAAAAAAAAAAAAAGAATTAGCACAACATATTTTTTTTATTTGTTCATATTCAAGTGGCTTTCGTGGTCTATATCTTAGTTTGTATGTTTGTTCAATTTAATAATTTGTTTAATGTTTTAAATTGTAAATAATAACAAAAAATAATTTGAAATAATGATTTTTTTGTTATTTATTATAAAATTTGTTGCATCTATTATGACAATTGCATGAAGGAATGCATAGTTTAGAAAAGAATAACAAACTTAGCCCAAGGTGACGTAAGTGTTAAGCTATGAGGGCATACAAAAGAACATATTAAATTATTCTTTTTAACAAGTTTTAACATTGAATTTCCAATGAGACTAGAAATAGTTTGAATTACGATGTAGGTTTAATATATGTCTTCTATTCAAAAACCTGTTTATTTCACCTCAAGCAAGTTCGATAGATGATTAAATGTAAATTACAACAAAAATAATGCATTTTAGTATAATGTAATACAGTATTTTCCACCAGACGCACTTGTCATTGAGACTTTGCCAGATTTGTCGGGGAAAAGCACACGTATATTTCTGGTGCCCAGTGATGAAATGACAATTTTTCAATTTCCACCTCCCCGTTCTTGTTTTGTTCCAATTTTTCAAAAATGGACCAAATGTGTTAAAGCGCAGGTTGTCAAAAGGCAGAGTATAATCTTCCCACCTTGACCCTCATCCTGTTAATATTTTTGTTGGCTGACCTATTTATATTTAACCTGAGAGTATGAATAGATGTGATATCATAGAGTCCCTAGAATCATGTTATCAAAGAAAATTGGACTATTTTGATTTAAATTGAATTAAGGAGTAGTTTGAAGCATCAAGGAAGGATTTTTATTAGTAAAACAAAACTTCGTTATTTTCAGTGGATATAAAATTTATTCATAAAGTTCAAATTTAAATTCTCATGATAATTGTAAAAATCTTTAAATGGTGATGTCAAACAAAAGAAATAAGAAATGTTCCATGTTTTTATGTTAATTAATCACCTTGGTTATCATTGCCTTCCTATGCATGGGCCATTGTGCATACAATAGGAAGTGGCAATCAGACATGTAAAATGTACGTCGAGGCTTGCAGATTTATTTCGTCGCCAGTAAAATCATTTCCCGGGGCGTTGTGTCCAATTAGGATAATCGGCGATTGTCTGAGCTGATAACAGGATTCGAGCACCGGGCCATTAGTCTTCTTTTTATAGAATGACAGGATGCTGTTGGCCCAAGGACTTTCAAATAGTTAGATTTGCCCGCCTCCAATACCATTTCGAACGAAAATTGGCGTATTAAAAAAGCGCACACAGCAATGAAAGCTCTATTGGAGTAGATTAAAGGCCTGTCACTCATTAATTAACATGGCTCAATTGGTATGGGAGAGTTAAAAATTGACAAAATGAACTCATCCGATGCAAGAGGGATTTGTTCTTGACATTCCGATGTTGCAAATACTTTCAATATTTACATTCTTGTTTTTACCTATTGAAAGTTCAATTCAAGAAAAATTGCTTATAACATTTTTACAGGAGTTGGGACCAGGGAGTATTTATCAAAATGCAACAGAAAAAATCTGTGGGGTCTGGAGAAGAATCCCAAGGGAATACAGAAGGCTGATAAGGGAAGAGAAATTAGTAATATCACTTCTCTGGCCGGACAAAAGAAGTATTACTGGACAATTACACCGGTAAGCTTTATTTATTAATTATATTACTTAATTCATTTAAAAAAATTACATAGATTCCTAGTTAAATCTAATAATTTACCATTCCTCTCATCTGTTTTCTTAAATTCTTCTATTATTTTTTCTGCTTTTCCACAAATTAATTGGTAATTTTGAGACTGTTATTTATAAATTAACAAATTTCCTTAGTAATACTTTATTAATACAATGTGATGGTGAGGTCTGCCTATTGCATTCCTGTAGTACATGGATACCTAATTGAAACTAATAATTTTCCATTCCTCTCTTGTGTAATTTTAACTTTTTTTTAAATAATCAGTCAACAACCCTTTTCACTTTTTGATTCTTTTCGTTAAATTTAATTTTTTTTAAAATGTCATTTGATTTATATACCCAGCTAAATAGTTGATTTGAAAATACATGCACATGAAAAAAATATAATTTTTATAAAGGTGAGAGTATTAACCTGACTTTTCGTCATTGTTATGATTTTTTTTAGGTACCGAGCACTTTCTACAGAAATGTTCAGTTCTCTAATGCAAGGGGATGAAATTGGAATGGCTGGAACAGCTATTGTTTCTGTTTCCACTTCAACGCCATCAATCCACATAACTGTAGTCTTTACAGGTCTTTTTGACAAAAACGATTCAAATGACACGCCTGTTTCGCTGTCCCTGTATGGGCAGGATGGTCAGAAAGTTCTTAACGAGGTTCGTTAATAAAGTGTTTTAATTGTAAATCTTGAAAACTATATTTAATTTTGTTTGCACAGGTCATCCGTATTGATAAAGCTTCGCCTGAACTTAACACCATCGAAATTAGCTCAGCTGTCAGTTCGAGTGAACTGCGCCTTTTATCTAAAAATAAATTGAGCCTTGCTATAAAATCAAAGGACAAAGAGATCAAGGGAAATGTACGAGTTCGGGCTGTATGCGAAACGTTTCAATGCCTCATGACCAATTCGGAAAAAAATCTTAAAAGCTCAGGACTGGCTTGGATCTATGTAGATAAGAATGGAAGATTAAACTATCACATTAAGATTGACCGCGTTACACGCCCTGTTGTGATCGGACTCGGTAAGTATTATTGAATATCAAGTTATCAACGAAAATATTTTAATAACATGTTTTTTTTACAGTAACGGAAAGAAAATTAGTCGAACTCGAGGATCTCAGCCCAGAGTTAACACTCAACGGTTGGACCAATGGAACATTGGACCCATTATCTCCAAAATATCTTGAGATGTTTTATGCCGGAGATTTGGGTGTAAATGTTGCTACTCAGTTTTCTGAGTCTGTCATAAGGGGAAGGCTCACTGGGAAATACGTGGCATCTCCTGTGGACTCAAAAGCTCCACTTTTGCTTACAGACCAAAGCACTGAACATTCCCATGATGGTCTTGCAGCCCTTGCTTGGCTCGATGTGGACATTGAGTGCAATTTGCATTATGAAGTAGGTTTTTTTTATATTTTGCATGTTTTGTTTTTCTAAATAAAATGTCTATTTATTTATTTTTTGTGAAGGTCCAAGTTACAAGAGATGGAGAATATGGGTTATATTTAGCACAATTGCCCATGGATGTCCCAGGGGCGCCAGTGACCCGAAAAATATTGGATGAGGGACAAAATCATATTGAAGGCTCGTCGCTCGGTCTCCTTCCTTCAGAATTGGCGACTTTAGCCAATGGAGTGACCTACGTTGAGATTAACAGCCAGGCATCTGGGCAAATCTTGCTTAAAGCGCAATGGACACAAGTAAGACAATAATAAAATTTGACATATCATAACCATTCATTTGTTAATAATATTTTAGATTGAAGTGCCAGAAGCCTGTCTGCCCAATTTGTCAGACAATGAACTCCATTTCAACTCTGATGCGAGTAGACATAAAAACCTCCCACCAGGAAGTCCTTGCTTACAAGGGGGAAGATTTCACGAAGACGGTTCTCAATGGAGATCAGTAGAGGAGCCTTGCACAATTTGTTATTGTTCATCCGGAAAATTAATTTGTGAACCAGTGATATGTCCTGAACTTAGCCCGAACTGCCCTGCAGTACAGCCTCCAGGGCAAAAAGAATGCTGTCCACAATGCTTAAGTGCGTTTCTCAAAATAAAATTAAATCTTGAAAATATTATGATTTTATTTGATGTTTTGATTTTTAGATGGAACAGCTTTAGAAAGTGTATCAGATTCTAAAGGTTGTCAAATGGCAGGCCAGCATTTCACTCCTGGAAGTTCATGGCATCCTTACTTACCACCGACTGGTTTTGACACATGCACAACATGCACTTGTCATGTAAGTGTTTCTAGTAAATTTCATAGTTTCCCATAATTTTAAAATGATATTTCAGCCTGGGACACTGAGAGTGAGCTGCCCGAGGAAGCAATGTCCTCCGCTTAATTGCGACATGAGAGTCGCTGTCAAGCCAGATCGGAAAGCATGCTGCCTTGTCTGTCCTTCGTCCATCTTCGGAACGATGGCAGACGGCGTTCAGAAAAGGAACAACGACGATCAAAGATCGGAAGAAGCAAGTGATGCTGAAATGGCAGCGGAAATCCTCGCAAACGGTGGATGTAAATACCCAGTTGGTGGGCCTTACCCAAATGGGCAAGAATGGCATCCAAGACTCTACTCTCATGGAGAAATGAAATGCGTCAAATGTAAATGCAAGGTAATGTATTGCATTTTAAACTTGTAACATTGGAAAATTTTATTTTTTATATGTTTATTTAAAAGAGAGCATTAGATCTAATTTTACTTTTGTAGGATGGCAAAGTCAAATGTGAAAGAAAGAGATGTACAAAATTATCTTGCAATGATGAATGTTGTGCCGCGCAGTGCAAAAGGAGGCGCAGAAACATCAGAAGGCATCACTAATTCTACTAACTGAGTTACTTAAGAAAGAAAATCTGAATGTTACCTTAATTTTAGCACTTCTGAATGTGGAAATTTGTTAAATTGTTATTAAGTATTACGGGCCGATATTATTCGGTTCGAATTTCGGTTGTGCTACCTTAGGAAACCTCAACAGGATCAAGTACCTGAATATAGCGCCATAACATGGGATAGGAGATCATTTTTGTTCTTTTGTAAATACACTATTTTAATAATAATATTTATTTAACTTTTGTTAGTCTCATACAGATTAAGTTTAGTAAGTAAACTATGACAGTATTGTTCCATCTAATTTTTGGCTCTATGGTTTAAATTTTGAATGACTTAATGAAAGAAAGCGTGAGTGTTTGTTGACTTAATTCTTAAATGGAAGATGTATGTATGCAAAACTTTAATTTATCAGTGATGATGAATTTCATTGTTCAGTAGGAATCATGTTGTAACAAAAATATTCAAATATCTACAGAAGTGAGAATTGTTACCATATCACAACTCTGTTTTTCATATCAATGACAACCTTGGTTCCTATTATTTAGTAGCTTAATAATAATTAAACATTAATTAAAATAAATTATAGGAAAACTTGAAGCGATTTATTAAATTAACATAGTTTTTCATGTATTCATAACTATTAATTCTTTTTAAAGACTGAAAAAGTCTGTATTTTAGATTTATTAAGATAAATTAATATATTTGTTTCATAAATTTATTGTATTGTTTTGGGTTTTGTAATGGAACCACAACGAGAGGCTATGTGTTTGTTTTTATTTTGTAAAAAGTTCTCATGGGTATTACAAAACAAAAATTTTTTATACATAATTTTAACATTGGTGCTATTGTTAATTGTGAAAATAACAATAATGTAAATCGTAAACAATGCATTTTCACATGTAACACATAAGAAGGAATTTTTTTTAGGGGACCTAACATAGTATTAATCCAAATCTTATAAATGTATTTCTGTAATTGTATATCATGAAGAAATTATTTAAATTAATCCTCTGAACTCTACGAGCACAATATTAATAGTATTTGATATAATAAAGGTATACGTAATTGTTTCTGTGATTTATATTGAAAGTGTTTGTCACTCATGACATGTTTATCTTCGTAAAGTTTTAAGTCTTGTAGAATCTAGATTTAAGAATGAAATATCTTTATTCATAATATTACATAAACCTATAATATTGTAATTTGCAATTTAGTTTTAAAAAAAAAGAGAAAAGAAAACAACATTGAATTATGTAAATAATAAAGGATCGACTAACTCAATTTGTAATTTATTTAATTTTTGCCAATAGGAGTCTAATCCTAATGTGAAATATATGTTATTTAAACAATAAAACATTCATGTCCTTTGTAGTTTTTTCTCTTCTGCAAGTTGTAATTAACGACTAGATAAAAAAGAAGTATTTATTTTTATGTGTCAGTACTTAAGCTATTTACATTTTTTATGAACTAATAAATAAATTAAGTAATAATAACAAATTTTTTTACAAAAATTAAAAAAAAAATTGTATGTCGGCTTCCAATGCAGGGCCACTGGATTTGAACCCTTTACCTTACGTGCGTGGTGATTAGTGACCGTTAGTTGATGATTATTCAGAAATCGTGAGATGCGATCTGGTGTGATGTAGGTTTCAGAAAAACATTTTCTTTGTCGTGCCAATGTTTCGATCTTTATTGAGCCCTGAAGATGATCTCAATAAAGATCGAAACGTTGGCACAATAAAGAAAATGTTTTTCTGAAACCTACATCACACCAGACTGCATTTCACAATTTCTGAATAATCCTTTACCTTACAGTCATGAAGTTCTATGTCAATGCCTAAACCATTGCGGCCATTGGCGCCACAATAAAAAACAAACTTAGGTTAAAATTAAAACTAGCTTTGCACTTCCATTTGTCTGTTGCATGAAAAACCACGCCTTAACCTAATCTAACCACCCATGTGCACTCCCTTGTATTGTAAAAATGGTACAGGAAAAAAAGTGTCTATCCAGCCCAACAATATATCCATGTTAAAATTAAATAATATGCCTAGATAATAGCACTGGGTGCTTCAACAGCTAGGTCAATTCAGTACCTAACACATTCCTAAATCCAAATTCATTCACACGCTCACTCACTCTTAAATAAATTCTTTTATATTTACATGCTAGTCACTCAGTGGTGAGTACTTGATATTCCCCCATAACATTTTACATTCTTTTCTACAATAAAATAGCCCTGTTCCCTACAAAAATCAGAGCAGGAGACCCAAATACTCAATGCCGTGCTTAAGCTCAATTCTCATACCAGGTGGCATTGTTACGCGCTCTCTGTATGGTCCCAAGGAATGTCCCTCTTCCATTAAGTAGGACACATCGAGCAAGCTTTTTCTACATGCTCTACACAAATGTGAGCTTCGACCCAAAAGTACATGTCCATGTGTCAACCTAACCTGTCGCATTTAATAATCTATTAAATAATCTTCCCATTATATTCAATATATGAGGCGTTGCGGATACGAAAGGCGAACTCAACAAAAGGAGGTGTTGAGAAAAACTTATTTGAAAATAATTTTTCTGTTGACATGCGAAGGGCGAACTCAACAAAAAAGATTAAACCTGTTTTCGTTGAAGGATGCCTAATTTTTTGTTTATTAATGGTTACCCCATCTAGAGATTGGTCAGGAATTTGGTTGAACTTCAATTAATCAAAAAACACATTTTATTTATAAAGTCTGTATTCTGAAAACGTACATACATTTAAAATAATATTAAAATGACTTTGAAAACGAATTGTAATTTTTAATTTTTTCTCTTTTTTTTTTTTTTAAATTTAAATTTTTAATTTTCTTTGTAATTTCTAATCCTCATAATCGGGTTGGTCATCTTCCGTTTCCTCGTTGAGCATGGGCATGGAAGATTGATTATTTTCAATAATATTAAAGTATGTTGACCACGGTAACGGAACGTATGGAGTATCCAGTAAACGCACTATTATTGTTAACATCCATTACTGCACACAATAAGATCATGATAACAGTAACAACAAAATAAACACTGCACGAGACAAGCGTTTTATGCAAACTAAACGAAGGATTGCATCATACAGCGGAGCGCGAAGAGAAGGACAAGGAGCGGTGTTGAGTTTGCCCTTAGTATCCGCCCACCTATGGCAGTTTCCAACTACAATCCAACTAGCATCGTATCATTCTCTTCATATTTCAGACGGGTACGAAGGGCGAACTCAACATGAAAGCTATAACTGTACATTCTCTGAAGCAGCTAGATTCGGATGGTGACCAAAAAAAAAATTAACCTGATGTCGAGTTCGCCCTTCGTATCCGCAACGCCTCATATGTTTATAAAGGTACCAGACAGCTGCAAAGACTATAAAATATTTTCAGTGCATAAGAAGGGCTCTTTTTCTAATACAGTTGGCAAATTGTTTATTGCGATTTTATTTACAAGATTAACAACGATGAAAAAGTTTTTAGAGAATCGCAATTGAGGTTTAAGGAAACATTCTGCAGTCGGCAACATTATGAGTATTTGATTATTTGGACCCACTTTGATTGATTGTAAAATTTATAACATTGTATAAATTCATTTTTTCACATCCTACATGTAATTGTAAAATTTAAACAATGTTTATTAATCCCAGAACCTGAAGATGATCTCAATAAAGATCAAAACGTTGGCACGATAAAGAAAATGTTTTCCTTAACCTACGTCACACCAGACCACATCTCACGATCTCCAAATAATCATTACCTATGGTCACTAAACACCACACATCATGAGTATTGCTACGATCAGTTGAATAAAAAAGTCATAAATTTCATGCATTTTTCGTAGATCTGTATGATGAGTTTCATAAGGTTGATCAGTATCAGTCCGAGCTATTCAAGCTAGGCTTTTCAATAAGACGTTCTAGTTGTGGTTTATAATTTCTACTTGTTCTGTATTTTTATTTGTATTTTTTTTCTGATAACTATGTGCAGTAATCCATTGTATTGTCCAGGTGAGGTCTTGTTCATATGAGTCTCTCATTCAACTAATTTGGAAATTTGAACCAATTTAACCTGTAGTTCAGTTGTTTCTGATCTTCCTGCTCTGCTAATCCTCACTGGTGTGACATATCTCAGTTTTTCCCCATCTTCAATGGTGTGTTTGTTTAATATATTTTGAATATTAAATAATAAAACTAAGGGAAATATAGAGACCAGAGACTTTTTTTATTTACACCAAGCAAAAGAAAGATCTTCAAACACACTTCAGTTTAAGTGTTTAAGGTAAGAGCACTGCAGTGGTTAATATGTTTATCCTCTTAAACAAAATCTTTGCACTTAAGAAACATTTTAACTATCATTAGATTGGCCTATATTTATCTTTAAATGTCTTTCTGCTAATGTTACTTTATACATGCTTTATTCCATGTCTGATGTCTGAAAAAAAATTAAAAAAATATAAAAAATAATAAATATAAATAAATAATAAATAATCATAAATAAATATAAATAAAAAATAATAAAAATAATAAATAAAAAACTAAAAAGGACAAGGACATAAGAAACTTTTTATGGCCAGCCAAGGAATAAATGTAAATAGTGTAAAGTGGAAATGGGCTAGTCAAAAGAAATGGACAAAAAAGTCACAAATTGGATCGCTACAACACCTACACCTCTGCTAGGAAGAAGAACTAGAGAACGACCAAGGAAGAGGTGGGAAGACAATATTGCAGACTTTGTGGAAGGAACTATGAGAAGAAGAACAGTAGACGGAGAAATTTGGAAAAATATGGGAGAGGCCTTTGCCCAAAACAAAGCCTGGTTTCAAAATGACAATCTTCTTAATTGTTTAAGTTTATTATAAAAGGTCATTTACATTACTAAAAATTTTTTATATAGTTTCTATAATGTGTCTTTAAAGAGTGTAACAGAGATATAAATCATTTCAGGATAGCTGAGCCCTGATCTTTCTGTGTTAACTTTCTTTGCTCTTGCCATTCATCTTATGTCTTAGAAAAAAAAATCCGGATGCAAGGAATTGAACCCATGACCATGGGATCAGCAATAATTTTCTTAAATAATAGTACTTTTCTAATCTTATTAACTTTGTACTAAACATTAAAAGTGAATGTTTAAGTGATGTGGCATGGCGATTTCCCAGTATGTTTAATTAAACTAAAGTGGAAATATGCTGGTAGAGGTTTTTTTGTTGATAAAATGACCAAATTTTCACTTTTGTAAGATGTTTAGACACATTAACAATCCATATAATGAGCTGGATTGGCATGTTGAAAAATGATCATTTCACTTTCATTACAAATGTAGATTTTAGAAGTTTTAAGGCCCATTTTAGCTGATTTTTAAAGCTTTGATTGAGTGAAAACATCTTTAATTTGTTCAAAAAGTTTTAGAAAGTAGAAGTTGAAAGTGTTACTATATTTTATTAAAATAGTATTGCTGAATGCTGGGAGATAATCCTAACATACCAACTTTATATCACGATACTCATAAAACTATAATTTTCTTAAATATTAGTACTTTTATTATTTTTATTTAAGTTCTTGGTTGAAATGAAAAAGTTAGCGTCACGAGCGGGACACTGATTTTTTTTATTTCAACCAACACCTTATGAAAAATGGTCATTTCTGGTTTTAGGTCTTTCAGTTTCATTATATAAATACAAATATAGATTTTAGACATGTCAAGGAATGTTTTAGCTGATTTTTAAAGCCTAAATTGACTTTAAAAATCTTTAATCTGTTCAAAAAGTTTTAGACAGTTGAAAATGTTAATATAAATATTTTATCAAAATAAGATAGCTGAATGCTGGGAGATAATCCTAACATACCAATTTTATATCACGATACTCGCAAAACTGTAATTTTCTTAAATATTAGTATTTTGCTACTACTAGTTCCAGCTTTGTACACAAAGGTGTACAGATTTTTCGGTTGATAGATGCTTTGCTATATATACAAATGTAGATTTTAGAAGTGTTAAGTGATGTTTTAGCTGTTTTGAAAACCTTAATTGACTTTAAAAATTGTTTTTTGTTCAAAAAGTTTAGAAAGTGGAAGTTGCAACTGTTATTATATTTTATCAAAATATGGTAGCTGAATGCTGGGAGATAATCCTAACGTACCAACTTTATATCATGATACTCATAAAACTATAATTTTCTTAAACATTTATATTTTTAAAAATCTTATTACAAAGGTGTATACATTTTTCATTTGAAAGCTGCTTTGTACCAAACGTTAAAAATTAATGTTTCTGTGATGTGGCATAGTTATTTTTATTATTTATAGAGTATGTTTTACTGAACTAGAGTGGAAATATGTTGGAAAGGATTTTTGTTAATAAAATACCCTAATTTTTAGATTTATAAAATGTTTTAACATTGTTACATTCATATAATGAACTGGATTGTCATGGTGAAAAATGGCCATTTGTTGTTTTAGGTCTTTCAGTTTCATTACTTAAAGGCAAAGTTTATATTTTAGAATTGTTGAGGAATATTTGAGCTATTTTTGAAAGCTTTAATTGACTTTAAAAAAATTTAATTTGTTTAAAATGTCTTTTAAAATTGTCGTATTTTGCTCCATTTTTCTAAGGTCTTAGGTACGTTTTTCGTCTATATCCTTTCGTTTTTTCGGACATTTTTGGAAATTCTCGTCATGGGGAAGTTTTCAGCATACAAACTTTGTAAAATTAAAGATAAATTTTTTTTCACAGGGAGAAGGGATATCGGTAGTTTTCAGTTGGCGAACCGTCAGTATAATTCCCATTCTCTCCGTGGCCGCTGCACAGCAATACAGTCAGAGTGGGACCCAAAGTGAAATGTGTTGTGGCAAATAGTTGAAAACTAGACAATAATTGAAAACTGGCCGGAAAAAAGTGTCCCAGCAGCTTTTGTGAGACATAGTCAACCAATACGGGATTAGTCGAAAATAATCGTAAGTCCAATATAAAATTATGGCTTTTTTTACAAAAAGAAAAAATTCTTTACGTCCCAAGGAGCCTTGGGTGTACCGTTCCTTAGAACATCTGCATAGAAATATTCATTTTTTTACATACATGTGATTTTTTTTCTCTCAGAAAAAACATTATTGCACTATTTTGACATGTCAACCATAATTATATGACCTAAAATATCATTTATTAATTTTTTTTGCATTTAATCCTATATAAAGATCTATTTATTTATTACTATAAAGGCCATTTATAGTAAATTTATTAATAATATGTTATAAAAAATGCCTAAATACACTAAATATACCTATCAACTAACCAAAATCCATGCATAGTTATATAGGCGAAACCCAATAAAAAAAATGCTCGTTGTACAAATTTTGATAGATTTTTGCATTGACTTTAAAGTTAGATTTTTTAAGTGTTATATAATTTTATAAAATTTCTTTTGTAGGCGTTATAAATACGTGATATATTTGATGATGTTGCTAGTTTACTCCCACTCTATCACAAATCTTCATGTGTTTTAGATTTGTTAGCCAACATCCTTATTTTAACGTCTAAACTGTTTTTAGACGCCTTTCGTTTAAGATTCTTTAACGTTTAGGATTTTTTTTTTTAATTTCTCTAAACCGCTTTGTAGTTTTCCCATTCATAAGGGAGTGTCAGCGTGTGTCCTGCGTGTGGGTAAACGAGTCCTGCCCACATCCATGGGATCCTTTTATTTTTCAACTTGGCATCTCGTATTTAACAGTCGGTTTGTCATCTTTATCCTAGAAAAGGACTGAATGTCTCGATCTGGTTCCGACAAATTTGGGCTGATTTCCGTGTAAATTGCACGTGCGTGTATAAATAGTTTAAGCGCCTCCCTTTCCCTAGCCTTCAAACGGTTGTAAGCAGCTAAAGCAGCTTTTAGAAAAATCCCACTTAATAAATAATTAATAAAGTAAACTAACTTGGCATACTAGACTATTTTTTAAAGTCACGTCTACAAAAATAAAATAAATAAAGCACATCAACGCTGTTTCCTTTAACTGCCTGCTTGCAAATAAGTCCTCCTTGATAGCTTATTTTTACCAAGGCAAAAGACAAAATCGAAGTACCCGAAGTGTAGTTAATTTTCTTCTAATAACAGAAATTAATCCTCTTTTTCTATAAATAAACGCGATAATTATTTATTTTAAAAAAACACTATTAGTCGATAGGCAAATATATGATTTTCTTTGTCTCTATGCTCATTCAGAAATAGACACGTTTCCTTTCTTAAAAAATGGCTTATTATTGTTTATTTTAATCGAGATTTTTTTTTTATATAATGGAAAACAAGCCGGAGTATTATATAGTTTTCAATGGAAAATATTGAATGACTTGCATCAAACTATTATTTGATCTACATTACATAATTTATGATGTATTAAGTTGCAAAGTCTGTGACTTTTCTATTCAGAATAGAGAGATACAATGAATTATTTTAAGAAACAAATGTCTGGAGAACGCTTTGCTTCTAAAAACCTTTTCTTACATAAATTTAGATTCTGTTGAAATAGAAATTTACTTGTTTGAAATAAATTTTCAATGCGCAAACAATATTTTTTCTTAAAATAACGAATTTATGCCGATAATTCACGTTCTAAACACGACTGGTCGAGACGGAAAGCATTTCTTTCTTAAAAGACTAAAAAAATCCATTTTTACTACTATTTTTCGTCAATTTGTTTCAAAACCACTAATGGACTAAGGATGCAAGTTTATTTCCTGAAAATATGATTTGATTGTTATATTAGATTTTGTTCCCTAAAAAGGACACATTCAACCTGGAAATTTTCTTTGTTAAAACACCTGATCCAGTCAGATTTTCATTCATAAAAAGATTGCATTTATGCAGAACATTTTTTCATAAAAAATACTGATTGAAGAAATTTTCTTACTTGAAATTGTTCCAAGAAGTACATATTTTTAAAAAGACTGGTCAATGCAATAGGTTTTGCATTCATAAAAAGAAAACCTTCTTTATGATAACAAATTAATGATCAAAGAATGAAATTATTTTGCCGAAAAGTCAGATTCATCCTAGAAATATTTTTAAAAACGACTGGTCGAAGTAAAAATTTAAGTTCTTTCTTATGAGGCTGGATTGGTGCATTTTTTTTTTTAAATTTGTAACTATAATGTTCAAGGATTGAAATCTTCTTCCTTGAAAGTTCACATTCATTTTAATATGTTTATAAAACCACTGGTGAAGACAGCAAGTTTTTCATCAGTAAAAAGAGTGAATTTGTGACAAAAACTTTCTTCGTAATAACAACAGAAAAATAGGAAAAATCTCCTTTTTGGAAATTGATCCAAGAAATAGTTGTAAAAACCACTGGCCGAGGTATAAAGTTATTTTTTAAATTTATAAGTACAATCGAGTTATAAACTTTTCTTGCTTACAAGTTCGAATTCATCTGAAAAATATTTTAAAAACGACTGGTCAAGGCATTAGGTTTTTCATTAATAAAAAGACTGGATTTATGAAGAAAACTTTCTTTATTATAACAAATTAATGATCCGCGAATTTGGTTGCATAAAGGTTCAGATCATCATAGAAATATTTTTAAAAACGACTGGTCAAAGCAAAAAAATTTTTTCTTATGAGGCTGGTTTAGTGCAGAATACATTTTTTTTTAATTTTTAGCTATAAATATTACAAGAACTTTAGAATTTTCCGGCTTGAACTTTCAGATTCATCCTAAATATGTAAAATTACTGGTCAGGGCAGCAAGTTTTTCTTTCTTAAAGAGAGTGAATTTTTGACGAAAACTTTATTCAAAATAATAACTGAACAATAGGAAAAATATCCCTTTTTGAAATTATCCAAGAAATAGTTTTACAAACAACTGGACAAAGCAACAAGTTTTTCATTAGTAAAAAGAGTGAATTTGTGACGAAAACTTCCATCGTAATAACAGGTGAACATAGGAAAAAATCTCTCTTTTTTTTAAATGGTCCAAGAAATAGTTTTAAAAAGCCTGGCCAAGGCAGCAGGTTTTTCATTATTAAATACTGGATTGATGCATAAAGTTGTTTTTTAAATTTATAAATACAATCGAGGTATAAACTTTTCTTGCTTACAAGTTCGAATTCATGTAAAAAAATATTTCACAAAACGATTGGTCGAGGCATTAGGTTTTTCATTAATAAAAAGACTGGATTTATGAAGAAAACTTTCTTTATTATAACAAATTTAAAGTCATTCAATTTGCACAAACGCCTGGTCATGGTAGAACGTTTTTCATTCTTAAAATAAGTTTTTTAAATTAACAAGCACAAATGGTCAAGGAATGATATTTTCAGAAGTTTAGATTCATCAAAAAATATTTGTAAAAACGACTGGTCAAGGAAGCAGGTTTTCCATTCATAAAAAAACTGAATTTATGAAAAAACTTTCTTTATAATAACAAACTAATGATCAACGAATGAAATTTTGTTGCCTAAAAGTTCAGATTCATCCTAGAAGTATTTTTAAAACCGTCTGGTCAAAGTAAAAAGTTTAAGTTCCATTCATAAAAAGACTGAATTTTCTTTCTATATAATGTAATGGTTATAATTAAGATCAAGGAATGATATTTTTTACCAAAAAGTTCGGATTCCTCCAATAAACATTTGTAAAAACTAGTGGTCATTAATAAAAAACTGAACTTATAGACAACGTTTTTTTTTTAATAATATTTGTTTTTAAAGTTCTGAATCAATCCAAGAAATCATTTTTATAAAAAAGACTGATGAAGGAAGAGGGCTTTTTATTTAAAGAACAGAAAATTTGCTTTGATAAAATAACTTATCTAGGCGGTTTTCATTCATGAAAAGGTTGCATTTATTCAGAAAAACCTTTACAAACTACTGAATGAAGAAAGAAATGTCCTTTCTTGAAATTGATTCAAGAAATATCTCTAAAAACGACTGGTCAAGGAGAACGTTTTTCTTTCTTAAAAGGTTGGATTGATAAATAAAACGTTTTTAAATTTATAAGGACAAGTGATGAACGAATGAAATTGTTTTGCTTAAAAGTTCAGATTTATCCGAGATTACATGAGAGATTTAACCAATAATGGTTCAAAACTAAGGATCCGTGAAAAAAAATTTTGTTTAAACGGCGACGGGAAATTTTCTTTGTTGAAAGGACATGAACGTTTCTAGTTTTAGTTGTCTGTTGGAGGGAGTCACAAAACAAAACTAAACTTAAGGCCGACATGGCACAGAGGAAAAAATTTTTAAATCGTGCAGAGAACAAAAATATCTTTAAAAGAAGCCACTTTTAAAATATGAATTTTCTTCGGTATAAATTTGAAACTTTCTGATTGTGGGATAGGGGCAGAAAATTAAGTTGTACTTTCTGTTGAAACAGCAAAGGAAGGTTGGAATACTGCCAGAAACCAACACAATTCATGACTCTGTTGTAAAGCAGTAGGTTTTTATGGATTCTTGCACATGTGACCGTTGTATCTTCGAAGAAATATTTGCAAAAAAAATATATAAATGACTGTTAAATGTGTTGTTTGAATGTTATTGAACCAGCTCAACTACATGGGTGAAGCCTTGCACCCAAATTTTACACACTCTGAGAGTCACAATATGTATTTGGTTATTGACAACCGGGTTTTTAAATTTCAACAGACGTAAAAATGGAATTATTAATTTGCCCTTCAATGTCTTCTAGTCGTGAAAAGCCATGACATCATATTTACGTATGCTTGGATAATTGATGAATGGTCATCCTCTTCAAAAGGACCTGCTGATTTTTTTCAATTTAAAAGCCTCCTATTAGCTATTAATAATGCTTTTATAATAGTGCTCAGTTCACATTCTTTCTAAATAGGCCATAAACAATATAAAAATTATATATTTAATCCATTAAATTACTTTTTTCAATTAATTAATCTTTTTATGTAAGTGTAAGGTATTGGTTGAGATAAAAAAGGCAGTGTCACGAGCGGGATTCAAA